TTCCATACTGATGTAATTATACCACATTTTTCTCATACAAATTATTATACCTTATTGTACTCACAATATTGTGTCTTAAATTATCCAAGTGGGATTGATTTCTTCCAAAATATATGCTGAAAAACTGAATTATCAGATTTCAGCAGTGTAGGTTTGCACAGCTAAATGCATAACCAAAATTAATATGCTGCAGTGAAAACAAACAGAAGGATAAAATGGTGTGGAGCTGGAGGAATACAGCAGGCCAGGCAGCATCAGAGGAGCAGGAAAGTTGACATTTTGGGTCAGGACCCTTCTTCAGAAATGGGGGAGGGGGAAGGGAGCTCAGAAATAAAGAGAGAGAGGATGGTGAGGCTGGGGAAGGTAGGTGGGATGGTGATAGGTGAGTGCAGGTAGGCAGTGGTAGGGCTTCGTCAGTGAGGTGGGAGACAAGATGGAGGCAGTCACAATGACGCCACCCGGAAACTGGAGGAGCAGCACCTCATATTCCTCCTTGGGAGCCTACAGCCCAATGGCCTAAATGTGAACTTTACTAGTTTCAAAATCTCCCCACCCCCCGCCTCATCCAATGACCAACCCTCAATCTCATCCCCGCCTCCTTGATCTGACACAACCTATCCATCTTCTCTCCCACCCATCTGCTCCTCCCACCTCACCGAACAATCTCCACCACTGCCTACCTGCACTCACCTATCACCATCCCACCTACCTTCCCCAGCCCCACCCCTCCTCTCTCTATTTACTTCTGAGCTCCCTTCCTCCTCCCCCATTTCTGAAGAAGGGTCCTGACCCAAAATGTCAACTTTCCTGCTCCTCTGATGCTGCCTGGCCTGCTGTGCTCCTCCAGCTCCACAATGTGTTTATCTCTGACTCCAGCATCGGCAGTTCTTACTTTCTCAGAAGGATAAAATATTAGTTATATATTCTAATTCATTCTAATTCAATTCATAGATCATTTGTGGCTCGAATGTAACTGGGTATAGGAGTCAAGAGAGATGACATACCAGTTCGTGTGTAACTACTTAATTAGTGCTCATAGCTGTAACAAAAACAGTTTAAAATGTATCTCTTGAATTTTAAAGGACTCATTAGCAGGATGAATGTGGGAGTAATTAACTGAAAACTACTTCATTGGCATTCACTTCTTTAATATGCAAAACACCTACCAATATTAATGCCATTAATATTGTCCATAAATACTTCAAACTGCATAAAGAACATTTCAGCTTAGTTGTCTGTGGTTTATTGTTTTAATGAGGAGATGCGAGTTGAGCGTTACTTGTTGCCAATTGACAAATAATACTGTATCACAGAGAACCAAAGATCTGAGAGGATTGAGCTGAAACAAATGAACAAGTCAAACTGTCATCATCTGAAGAGAAATTTCTTCAGGGAACAATTTGTGGTAAAAATGTAATGCAGATTTATTGTGGTAGCTTCCAGTGGAAGAAAATTGTATTTCTTTCTTGTCAGTCTTGAGACTTTAAGGCAAAGATTTTTTTTTAAATGTAATGAATCATCAAGCATATTGTTTTTGCTTTAAGGATCAAAAACTGTACTGAGTTGTGTGTATCTAAATCAAAGCGTCAGATATTGTCATCAACTTTCCAATGTTCCTCTTAACTAACATGAAATTCAGTGGATGTAATTTCATCATTCAAAAAGGGTGGGACTTAAAATGGGAAACTAAGGCTAGTTAGCTAATCATCTGTTCAAATGACAAAATGTCAGCAATGGCTCTTATTAAAGATATCATAGCAGTGCATTTAGAAAACTTAATCAGGCAGAGTGAACATGATTTTGTGAAATGGGAATAATGTTTAATCAATTTATTGGAGTTCTTTTGAGAATTAGGTTGTGCCGTAAACAAAGGAAAATGAATGGACTTACTGTACTTAGATATCAAGAAGGCATTTGAAAAGGTGACACATCAAAGGATATTGCAGAAAATAAAAGCTCATGACACAGTTCATAATACATTATCATGGATATGGCTAACTAACAAGGTACCAAGAGTAGGTGAAAATAGATCTTTTTCTGGTTGGCAATATGCAATGAGTGGAGTATGACAACGATCAATGTTCGATTTTTTTTATCATTTATATAAATGACTTGGATGTAGGGAACAAAAATAATGTTGCTAAATTTGCTAATGACACAGAGACAAGTAAAAATTAAGTTGTGAAGAGGGCATGGGGGTCCACAAAGAGAAATAAATGGGGTAATTGAGTAGAGAAAGAACTGGCAAATGGAGCATGGTGTGGGAAAATATGAAATTGTCAATTTTGGCAAGAAGAGTAAAGCATAGCATATATATGATAATTATGAGAGATTGCAGAGCTCTGAGGAATCTTGGTGTACAAGAGCATGAACTGTCAAAGGCTAATATGCAGATATTGCACATAAGTAATTAATTGATTATTGGTGATTAATGCTGGGGGAATTGAATACAAAAGTAGGGAGGTTTTGATTCAGTTGTACAGAGCCCTGGTGACACCACATCTGGAGTACTATGTGCAATATTGCTGTCCTTATTTAAGGAAAGATTGTTGGAAGCAGTACAGAGAAGGGTTAGTAGACTAATAACTGAAATGGTTAGATTGTTTTATGAGGAATGTTTGGACAGGCTCGGCTCATATCCATTGACATTTTTTAAGAGTAACTTTATCGAAACAAATCATTCTGAGGGGTCTTTGCAGGATACATGTGGAGAGCATGTTTCCTCTTCTGGGGGAATCTAGAACCAGGAGTAAATATTTAAGAATAAAGTGTTACTCACTCACAAGACAAATTTGAGACAAAAAAACATTGAAAGCAAAATCTTTGAATATTTTTAAGGCAGAGATGGAAAGATTTTTGATTAAACAAGGGATGAAAATTTATCAAGGGTAGGCAGGGATGTGGATTGTGGTTACAATGATATCTGTCATGATCATATTAAATGATGGTGCTAGATGGATAAGCCAAATGGCCAATTCCTTCCCCTTGTTCAAATGTTTGGATGTTCTCACACTGGTACAAGTTTTCCTTCTGCCTTAGTGGTTCTTTTGAGCATAGCTGTTTAGGAATATGCCAATACAAACCAACGTCTAAGTACATGACAGCTGACCCTGAGATTAACCCTGAGATATAATAATGTGGTCTGAACCATGCCCTTCATGTGTGGTTTGAGGTGGGTTCGCCAATCTTTGATAATAAAAGGTTCAGCATAAATTATTCAGCTACTTTGTCTCATAAGCAGTAAATGAATTGAACAGTGCTGGCCCAGTGAAAACTGTGCACTGGGGCAGTTAGAATTGCACATGAAGCTTGCCTTTCATGTGGTCTTCAGTTTTAAGCTGCTCCACAGAGAAGTGGGAAACTAGCAAGGTCCTTCTTTAAATAAACAAACTAGGCACCAATTACATTTTTTAAAAAAATCTAGTATTATGTTAAGCAAAGGGATACTATATGTTTCCAGTCAAATGAAACATTTAGCAAGAATGGTTGGAGCCAAAAGAAATCAAAATTTGTTTGTTTCTGCGTGGATTGATTTTAGCAAGCCAGCTAATGGAAATGAGAATCAAGTAGATGTTATAATGATTGGGTGATCTGTTCTACTAATTTGCCACTGGTTGTAAATAAAGGTATAAAATACCAAAGCCAGGACATTATGCTAAACCTACATATAACACTAGTTCATCTCTGTGCTGGAGTATTCATAATATTAATGCAGGATTCCTAATTCTGTTGCAATAATATTATTTTTAATGTGATTTGTTTTCAAAGAGATTACAATTGTGGTAATTTATCTGATACTAACTAAACTATAATTAAATTGGTTGTCTTAATTTGGGCAAAACAAAAACCAAACTGGTTCCAGATTTTTCTGGTTTGTAAATTGAGATATAAAATGCAAAAGTCAGGACATTATGATAAACCTCTTTATAACACGAGTTCAGCTCTGTACTGGAGTATCATGTCCAATTCTGGGCACTTTATGAAAGGCACAATTGTTTTGGAGACAGTATAAAAGGGACTTTTCTGGATTGGTTCCAAAGTTGAGGATTGTGGGAATGTTTGTAGGCTGGAGGAGATGAGGTTGTTCTCCTTTAAGCAGAGAAAGCTAAAAGAAGATTTGGAAAGAATTATTTTGATAGAATAAATAAAGAGAATCAATGTCCATATGTTGATGGGCTAAAAGAAAGTGCAAATTTAAAGGAATTGACAAAAGAACAAGAGGTGTCATTAGGAAAAAAATACACAATAAGTGGCTTGGAATTTGAATTCACTGTGAATACAGAATCAATACTAGCCTTCAAAAAAAATTGATGAAATACTTGAAACAAAAAATATTGCATGGATTACAACTTTGAAAGAGACTTCACTGACTCAATGGGTTCAATTGCTTCATGTGCTCTTGACCTATAATGGAAGTGTGCGAGTAAAGAATTTGTTTGCAGAAAGAATTTTGGCTGTGATATCCTTGTTAAAATAACACCTGCATGATTATCATCCAGACTTATATATGAAGATGGCTATTTATTAATGTGGTAAGTCCTAGATATCAAGATGTGATACCCCAGCACACGTTTGTGTTGGTGTGTGGAGAAGGAAGATACTTGCACAATAATGTAATTTTTGGAACAGTATACAACCTGTTCCATCTATCTTACCCCACAGGATACTATTGAAAAAGACTGATAAAATGTACAAAATAGAGTTACAATGTATAGCATCAAAAGATATGAAAGTTCTAAACATTTCAAAGTATATTTTTCTAACAGTATAAATATACTGCACAGTAACATTTATTATTTTTCTAGAACCCCCAGAAGACAATGCTTTTATTATAGGAATCTACAAAAGATAGTTCAGTAGAACTGATTTTTAAATTTTTATCAGAAAGTAAAATGCAAAATCCAATATGTGCTGCACTTGTGGGAAATCTGCAGTAGTGTTTTAAATTTGTCAACGATTCTTGCTCCAGAGCTGTCATGTTCACAGTGACTCAAGTGACAATGTATATTGTTCTGATAACATCTATATTGATCACAGTGTTTGGAAACTTAATGGTTATCATTTCAATCTCACACTTCAGGCAGTTCCAGACACCTACTATGTTTTTCCTCGGCTGCTACAGATTTTCTTGTGGGTTTCTCGGTCATTCCTTACAGTATGGTGAGATCCATTGAAACATATTGGTACTTTGGGAGTACATTTTGCAAAATCCACTCAAGCTTAGATATGATGAGTACAGCATCTATTTTCCATTTGTGTTTTATTACAATTGATCTCTATTGTGCCGTATGTGACCCGTTACACTACCTGACACCTCTTGTAAATGCTATTTTTACCACAGTTAGTTGGTAATTCCTGCATTATTTGCATTTGGTGTAGTATTCTCTGAAATGAATCTGTGGGGCATTCAGGATGTAATTATTTCCAATTCGCGTGTAGGTAGTTGTGTTCATGTGTTCAATCACCAGTGGGGAATATTAGCTCCAACAATCGCCTTTTGTATTCCAGGTGTCATAATGCTGGGTATTTATATCAACATATATTTTGTGGCAAGAAAACATGCCAAAGCAAATGAAAATACAAACAAAAGAACTAATTGTGCAGAAGAAAATAAACGTCAACGCTCAAGAAGTAAAGAGGTCAAGACAGCAAAATCATTAGGGATAGTGATAGGAATCTGCTGGACTTGTTGGATTCCTTTCTTTATAACTCCTGTCATTGATCCAATGATAAATTTTTCCACATTACCAATCATATTTGATGCATTTGTATGGTTTGGGCATTTTAATTCTGCTTTCAACCCAATACTATGTGCTCTCTTGCACCCCTGGTTTTGAAGATCATTAAAGCTTATGCTGACCTGGAAGATATTAGACTTCAATTCTTCAACAATTAATTTATTTTTAGACTGGTTACCATCAGAACCTTGCAAGAAAAATGAATGAATTTGATCCAGAGAATTTGGTCTGGAAGCAAAGGAAATAAGTTTCATACAATCTGATATTCAGCTCAGTCATTGTTCTAAATAAAAATCATTGATGATCAGTTTTTGCACTGGTGGGAAACATTTTTGATATCTGGAGATTTTAAACAATTATTTTCCTGTGTGATTATTTCTTTTATTCATTTTTGTCCACAAAACATATCACAGCTTGAAACTGTGAATGTATTTAGTTTAATTAGTAAAGCAGGTTTGGTGAAATAAACTGATTAATCTTGAATGGCCTGACTGTTACATATGTAATTAATTACACGGTACCTCTCCTCAAAAGTCCCTTTGTGCTTACAAATACAATCAGCAGTAAGGTGAAAAACTGAAAAAACCACCTTGTCACAATTGACGTTGATGACAATTAAACAAATACCTTAATTCTCAAGATTTTTGGCCATTTCTTTAACATTATATTAGAAGCTGAGAGGCAGAACACAATAACCATGTAAACATGCAGATTAGAATTTAAGAGAGATGTTTATTCACCCACAGCAATTGTTTTTGAATTCAGTCACAATTATAGCAGTAACAAGGATTCCAGCCCAACTATCCCATTCTAAACTCACTCCTCTCTAAACATCTCTCTTTACCTAACTATTTCATTGCTTTTATCCTTGCTAGGCGTTGATCTTGATTAAAACAATTAACATTTATGGTTCTTAAAGCTAAATCACTTCATATCGGTCATTCTGAGCAATTATATAACTTCTAAAAGATGTACCTCCATTACGGATACAAACTCTCAAACAACTTTGGCTCATATTGTCTGTCTCATTATTATGTCAGCCTCACTAGCAATCAGTCAGGGATTCGAAGTTTCTGTGGTGATTTGATGACATCACCACATGGCATTTGAGATAGGACATCCATGTTCCAATTCATCTAACTAAAAGCACATTATCCATTACCAGCCAAGAAGGTTCTTCCAACAAATGGTGTTTTAGCATTTCCCTTGCTCATCCAATTATCTCCTCTTGATGTTCAATGGCATTATCATTGCTGAATCTCCCACTATAAACATCCTGGGATATACTAATCGACCAGAAACTGAACTGGATGAGCTTTATAAATACTGTGGCTTTAATAGCAGGTCAGAGGCTAGGAATTTTGCATGACTGACCTCCTGTCTCTTCAATCCATGTTTATCATCTACAAGGCCCACGGATGTGATCAAATACTCTCTCCTTGCCTGGCTGAGCACAAATGCATTACTCAAAAAGCTTGACACCATCCAGAAGAAAGCAGCCCATTTGACTGGAATTCCACCAGCCACTTTGAACGTTCACCACTGATGCACAGTGGCAGCAGTGCGTACCATTCATAAAAGGTAACACAGTAACTCACCAAGGCTGTTCTAACACCATTTTAAGCCCACAATCTCCACCAACAAGGAGGATGAGGGTAGTATATGCAAGAAAACATCACCACATGCAAGATCTCTTCCAAATCTCACACCAACCTAGCTTTGAACTATATTTCTGTTACAGACACTGTCACTAGGTCAAAATCTTGGAATTCCATTCTAACAACTCTGTGGGTATACCTGCATTCCATGGACTATAGCTATTCAAAAAGTCAGCTCACCATCAGTTACTACAGAGCAAGTCAGTTTGGTCAATAAATTATGTCTAAATCCCATTGACAAGTGATGGCAGTGATGCCGACTGCCCATGAATGATTAAACAAATCTGACTAATCTTTTACTTTATTTTAAAATAATTGTCTGGAGAAAATTAATTCATAATCAACTTGGTGACCAATATTGAAGTACCCTTCTAGCATGCAATGAAAACAGAGGAAAAGGCTGAAGTGTGGTAGAAATCAATCCTCAGGCCTTATTGTAATTTTTTAAATAGAATTCCTACAGTGTGGAAACAGGCCATTCAGCCCAAGTCCACACAGACTCTCCAAAGAGCATCTCACCCAGACTCACCCCCTACCCTATCCCCATAACCCCACATTTCCGCTGGTTAATCTATCTAACCACACGTCCCTGGACACTATGGGCAATTTAGCATGGCCAATCCACCTAACCTGCACATCTTTGGACTGTGGGAGGAAACCGGAGCACCCAGAGAAAACCCACGCAGACACGGGGTGAACGTGAAAACTCCACGCAGGCAGTCACCCGAGAGTGGAATTGAACCCGGGTCCGTGGTGCCGTGAGGGAACAATGCATTTTCCAGGATCCAACCTCTGGGTTAAAATCTTGGAACTCACGAAATGGCATTGTGAATGTATCTATACCAAATGGACTGCAGTAGTTAAAGAACACAGCTCACCATCACCTTCTCGGGGGTAATTAGGGAAGGGCCATACATGCTGGCCCAGTCAGCAAAGCTCACTGAATGAATACAACCCTTGGACTGTCTATCTCACTGACAGTAACTGACAAGTAGGTCTTGTGAGAGATGAGAAAAATGGGAAGGGGACTGGGAACTGATGATTATCACAATCAAGAGTACTGTGGGCCAGAAGAGAGAACTCCTGAATTACAGAGCTCAGAAGTGACATTTTTGGTGGCAGCCATTAATGGCTGCTCTGCTCTGCACTGCTGGATTTCCTACAGTGGACAGGCACTGATTTTGTCATTTACACAGAGGCCTGAGAAAGTAACAATATGGCTGCTCCTGTGCCACAAGTGCTGATTGCATGTGAAAATATTGTGCCCCAAAATTTGTAAAACTCATTGCAAAATATACACTGGTATCAGACCAGATAATTTGTTTTAGTAGAGATGGTTGAAGGACAAATACTTACGTGAATTCTGCTGCTCTTCTTCTTTGAATAGTATCATGAGCACAGTCAGTGAATTGGAAGGTGGAATCTTTTAAATGAAGCATCAAGCAAGATTATGCATGCAAAATCTCTTGACTGATAATAGTTTGAATTCAAAAACTTGAACACTTTCAGTGAGGAAAGGTTGTCACTTAATAAAATGCTAAGCAGACTGATAAAATATACATCCACCATAATTATGTGATGAATAATTAATACTTTTCAGTTTTTTGTGACTATCTCATCAGTGGTATAATGATAAAAATGTTGACTCAATCACAGCACATCCTTCAAAAGACTGTGAAGGTTATTTTGGTCTCTTATGGATCATAAAAATCTTATTGGCTGTGCTATTAAGACTGGGACAGAAGACAAATACTTTAATCTCCTTAAAGTACTTCTATCTGTAGTTGAATAATTGCACTGGTTCATATGCACATTCAGAGATATGACACAAAGTTACCAATGTGACATAAAAATCACATTTGAACTCAAAATCTGGTTACGTAGTTCAGAATCTGAGGACATCCCCGATATCCATGATGATAATGTCAAGAAAGATACAGGTGGTTTTATAATTAGCATTTATAGAAAGGTAAGAAAGTTAATTGCTTAACATTTCAATTTTTTTATACTGATCTATGGTACAGAAAGTTAAAATGTATATTAAAATATTTCAAACATTCCTCTTCTATCTTTCTTTCTTGTGAAATATTGGTACATAATTACACACAGTGAAAAATGTTACACTAAATGATTGATACACTGAAAAATCTTTGCTAGATTTTTGAGAGACTGCTTCAGCCTTCAGTCAGTTCAAAACATACAGGAAAATATGAAATGTGGGGAAATATGACATTTCATCCATAAGAAGATTAATAATACATTAGATCAGGAAATGCTATTTAAATATTGTAAAATGCTGTGTCTATAGAGATAGAAATATATATCTATTTAGATATTAGCTCCTTAAATTAAAGAAAAACATATTTATGTTCTATACATTAAAAGTTACCATGAACACCTGAAAAATGTTGCTCATGTGCAATGCTATTTTAGTGAAGTTCACGTAAATACTTCCATATTTTATTATAATTGCAATTAAAAAATTCAATGGTAGAAAATGTAATATGCTTGCTTTATAATATAAACATAAATGTTGATCTTCTAACGTATATTAAATAGTTGTTACATCAATCCATATGAAGGAATATCTTCAATATAGAGAGCAATAATTTGAATTGATAAGCATCATCTTTTACATGTCGTACATTAATCATATATTGAAATTCAAACCAATGTAAATGTTTTGCACTGAAGTTTGCTATGTAAACTTTACAAACATGGAGTTCAATGTTAAAATGGCATCATTTAACTATAGCTGTTGCTATGTATCATGTGTGCTCTAATTGAAGTCCAATGTTAAATCACCAGCAATGATTAAATGACAGACCACAAAGTGGTGTTGTATGTCATCTTTGCTACAAATAATTTAACAATGAACATATCTGGTATTTTTTCTAAGTAATGTAAACTCTAATATGCAAAACATGGTTTCAAGTCAAACTTAAAAAGTCAAATAATTGTGTATTTTACAATGGCATGTATAAATTGATCAATTCAATTCATAGAATCATAGACTCCCTACAGTGTGGATACAGGCCCTCCAGCCCAACAAGTCCACACCGACCCTGAGAACATCCCATCAATTCAATTGTCTGTCTTGACCTGTTTCTGCTTTGCTTTAACCGTGAATTCATATTATCCTTAAGTTAAAAACCACAGTCCCTTCCTATCCTTGGAATTGATTGGATCCTTATGACTGATAGTTGAACACAGCTTATTCAGTTTTTGATTACATATTGTATTTTATGTCTCAGGTATATTGGCACTACTTAATCAGCTGTAGAACTGGAATATTTTCTTCAGCTTATTGATCATTAATTGTAAACACAAAACATCAAGCACAAGAAAACCATCATTCAGCTCAACCAGTATCATTTATGCAGCATTTGAACCTTCTCCTATTCTTCCTCTTCTATCAGCATAAGCCTCTCTCCCTCTTTC